AAATGTTCATTTTTTTCCACATTTTGACGATGTGTGAAATGCAATGTAGGTGCTTCGTTTGTCTTAACGTCAGTGCTTTCTAATTGACTACGGTTTGATTGTGTGCTTCGTAACCCATCTTGTCTCTTGGAGATAAGGTGGCTTGAGAGAATGGTTGTGCCTCTTTTGGGTGGGTCGAAAGTCTCTAGCTCTTTTGAGCTGTGCTTGAGGTGTGTCGCAAATTAACTCCCGTTCCACTTGCTTCTGCTGCCCTTTACTGCGGACTGATTATTTTAGTCGTTAGCCCCTAGTGCCTTTAATCACTTATCATTCACTTGCAGGTTAATGGATTAAGTAATCAGTCTTTCCCTTTACTGCATACGTCAAGTGTTTTCACAAAAAGCGATTCACTTGACCTCACTGGGGGTGGCTACATGCGTAATCGGTGTGGATGTTGACCCATGTGAATGAAATATGAGATAAGCTGCCTACTGCTACAGTTACCAGCATTAGCAGCAATGATGTCATGAGTAAGTGGTGGGGCCTCACTATGTACCATGTACATGAATTCTCCAAGGATTCGGATGACAGGCCTAATTAAGACGGCAGGCAACAAAGGCATCAAATCCGATCCCGTGGGTGTCTACTCCAACCGTAGCACGGCAGTGGGACACGTAACCGTGCACCGGTGCGTCATTTAAATGATGTCAATGTCTTAATGACGATCGCAAAAGGCGAACTGTTATTGACGATTGTGAGAGTGGTGGTTTCCCACCCTACCGAATGAGCATTTATGTATGTGAGCATATAGTTTACATAGACGACGTGCAAACTAACTTTTGGTGGAACTGCGCACGACACACCGTCGTTTGTGCGAAGGACTAGCACAGTGCATTCGCTTATGAATGCGAAAATTCTTGATTTGTGAAAAGCTACCACAAATGCTGAATTTGAAAGACGCAGCCACACTGACAGGCTTCTTCGTATTTCAGGCTTCTAGATCAAAGAATACATAGCTAGGCGTAGAAAGGTGAAAGATTTTATTTTCCACCTCTTTTTACACTTAACTTCCCACTTCCAACATCGTTCCCTTGACACGATCTTATTACATGAGCTCGTGCGTCACATTTACGTGATGCCTTTGTTTAGGAGGAAGTAAAGTAGATCAAATGAGAGGAAATGCGCCAATGTCATACATATCGTAGCAGTAGAACGTAGTGGTTGATGACTGATTTTCTTCTGTTATTACATCCATTTAATGCTTGACGGCGGCCATGAGGATGAAAGTATTAGCGCGATGCTTTGTACGCAGTTGCAGCGTACGATAATTGGGTCTCTCTTTGGCACCTTTTTGGTGATATTGGGCGTCAGATTATTGGCCTACATCCGTTGTCTCCTTCATCGTCGCAAG